CTTAGGATTTGTCTTTACTTGACCTGACTTAGAGCTCACCGAATGCCAACAGACTTTTCCCAAGTAATTTTGATTTTACGAAATCCTCACCAATTGTTTAATATCACAGTGCTTGAGGTAGCCATAATAAGGTAAAAAACAAGCTGACCAAAAATATTAAAAAGAAAAGCTAGAGAATAAGATGCCCATAGGTAAGCTCTGAAAATTCTGATATAATCCAGGGAATATAAAAAACCATGTGCATGAAAATGCCTTAGAAAGACTTGAGAAGGCCCTACACTCCAAACTCTGGTTGACATAAAAGCTCTGCAAAAGCAAGAAGTGATGGTTAAGGCAGAGTTATAAATTGCCTGCCTTCAGAACTGAAGACAAAACCTAACACACATACAGAGACTCTCAGCAAAGCTTTGAAGACTTATTGGTTCTAGGCATTTAAGGAAATCTCTGTCCAATTATTAGCTGATTACTAAGCTAACTGATTAGAGACCTCGGTGGCCATATACAACAAAGAATATGGATGTTATAGAACTAGTGCAGGAATGTTACTAAACAAACAACAAAAATAACACCAAAGATAAACAACAATAAAATCTGGAAAGAGAGGAGAATCTGATTTCCAGAACTGCCACATTATATTATTTAACATGTTCAGGTTTCAACAAAAAATTATGGGGCATGAAAAAAAATAAGAAAGCATGGTCCGTACACATGATAAAAACTAGTTGATGGAAACTTTCCAAGGGATTTAAAGAATACATTCTTTTTTTCTCTCTCTCTTTTTTTTCCTTTTTTCACTTTTGGGAGCCAGGTATTTAAGGATGGATACACAAAACAATTGTGTATACAAGGTAATTTAGAGGGCTAATACATGCACTGGGAAATTCAGGCACGGAAAACACTTGAGAAGACCTTAAGTTTTTTCTTTTCAGGCTGATCCCTGGAACAGAGATCCTAGTGGAAAAAAAACAAAACAAAACAACAACAACAAAAAAAACCAGAAAATCTTAGGGAAGAGGATCTGATTTCTAGAGTTACTACATTATGAGTTAAATATTCAGTTTTCAGCAACAACTACAACAAAACCACAAGGTACACAAAGAACCAGAAAAGCACGGCTCTTTAAAAGGAACAAAATAAACAAACAAAACCATCCTGGAGGAAACTTAGATATTGGACTTACTGGACAGACTTTAAAACAATCATATTAAAGATACTCAAGGAGGTAAAGGAAGACACAGACAAAGAGAGGAAAATGATTTATGAGCAAAATGAGGATATCAATTAAAATAGAAATATATAAAGGGACTGAAAATAAATTCTGAGGCTGAAAAGTATAACTGAATTGTAAAATTCACTAAAGAGGTTCAAAAGATTTGAGCGGAAGAAAGAATTAGCAACCCTGAAGACAGGACATTTGAAATTATCAAGTCTGAGGAACAGGAAGAAAAAGAATTAAAACAAGCAAACAGAGCCTAAGGGATCTGTGGGACACCATCAAGCAGACCAGAATACACACTGTGAGAGTTCAAGAAGGGAAAGAGAGAGAAAGGAGCACAAAGAATATTTGAAGAAATAATGGCTGAAATGTCCCAAATTTAATGAAAGACATGAATCTGCAAATCTATGAAGCTAAATCTCCGGTAGGAAAAACTCAGAGACCCTTGTGAGGATATATTATAATCAAACTGTCAAAAGACAAAGAGAGGGTCTTTAAGCAGCAAGAGAGAGGTGATTCACCACATACAAGTTATCCTCAGTAAGATTATCAGCCAATTTTTCATCATGGAGCCAGAAATCAGTGGGTTTATATACTAAAAGTGCAGAAAGAAAAAACAAAAACTATCAACTAAGAATTCTATATCCAGTAAAACTGGCCTTCCAAAATGAAGGTAAAATAAAGACATTCACAGATAGACAAAAGCTGAGGAAATTTATTATCACTAGACCTGCCCTGCAAGAAATGTTAAAGGACGTCCTTCAAATTGAAATGAAAGTTTACTAGATAGAACCTCAAAAACTTATGAAGAAATGAAGATCTCCAGTAAGACAAACACACAGACAAGCATAAAGCCTAGTATTATCATTTATTTTTGTTTGAAAATCACTTTTGCTCTTAAATAATTTAAAATAAAAA